CGAGCTCCAGGTATTCCACACTTCGTGGTTGGGTATGACTGGTTGACGACGGCTAATAAGCCAGAAATGGCCATTCCAGTCTCCCTTGTCTTTGTCGATAATGCCATTCTGCCTATATCATGCGCCGCTGTGCGACCGCTAGTCGGGCTCGAGAGAGAGCCCTTAGGGCACAACGGAACGAGTGAGTTCCGTAAGAAAGACCGGTGAGCGCCCCTCTACAATTACCAGCTTATTTGCCTAATAGCAGTAAGTTAATCTTTGATGGCAATTTGCTATCGATGCAGGATGCATTGTTCAATGTCCGAAATTGGGAATCGGAAGTTATTATTAGTTTCCTTAACAGTAGGTGATGATTTTGATGACAGTCTCGGAGGCTGGCGATTATGCCAGTTATTCTTCCTCGTGGCGTCTTCAGTAGGATCCTGGTGATATTTGAGAAGCACAGGCCGGTAGGGCTCGCAAACAAGACGCATAGTCCTCATTTACTATTTTGCTTAATAGCTCTCTGTTCCTGCCTCCGACCATTATGACAGTTTTAAAATGCACAGAGATCACATACAGAACGCAAATACAGCAAGGCTGATGAAGTGCTCGTTGTTCTCACTGTGAGAAGATGATATCTGGTTTTCGGCGAGGTAATGACTTACTCAAAATAGACAAAGAGAGGCTAAACGGAGCAGTATCCCGATTTCAGCCAGCGTAAATCAACTTCGATTTTCTTTACGCCGTCAGTCAGAGTGTGGACTCGTGGGTGAGTCTAATCAGTGTGCACACAGGGCATCGCAAATTGTATGCAATAGAGCCCCTCCTGTAGAATAAACCCAGGCAATTCGTTAATTTGGGTTAGTTTACCAGATTTGGGTACGCACATTGAAATGGGTGTGTCATAACGAAAACGATCAGCCGTCTATGCTTGCATGAGGTCTATTTACACCGGTTAGAAATTCGTGTTAGCCTGACTTTCAAGTATTCTGTGAGTAAAGTATGACTGGACACGAATAGCAGCCGACGGGGAGTATGCATCATGCATCGTTAAAGGCTACCTGCTTCTCGTATCTTCATGGTCAGATGTTTTGCACGAATAGCACTCGGCCGGACAACGCCGCATCGCTGCCCTGCTCTGCTCTCAGGTCATTTTACACTCAGAATATCGATAGTATTCATCAACCGCTCTTAATACTTAGGACTTGTGAGGTATTATTCGTTAGTCCGTGAGAACATTAGCGTTAACGTCATTACAAGTCAAACGGTAAAAGAAGACGGGACTAGATAGTTAAAGGTAAATTAATCCGGTAACCAGCCACAACTTCATAAAAATGAGGCCTTTCGTCAGCAGGTTGCTCACCATGGTTAACATCGGACACGAAATAAAATTTCTAGTCCGGCTAAATCTGTTTATTAAAACTCTCGCGTGTAAATTACTATCCTTTCCACGAAAAAGTCGCTTAGATGCGTAACTTGAGTCTAAGACATGTATTAGCATAGGACATTGCACGAACATATTCCAACGTAAATTTTCGCTACTGATATTTTAATTGACATACTTACGCAAACACAATTTCCGAACAAGAAAAGGACATTTCATTGATGGATGTAAGTGAGCGAACAAAATGCCCTACGTCAATAGCGCCCAAAAATTCTCTTATCACTTTCCGTTATCAGATTTCATGAGATAGGTCACGTACTGTATGCTCCAGGAAATACATCAGATTCCCCTCCATAACTGTTTGCTCCAGTAGAAGCGAACAGACGAGTCCCAGGATGTAGTCTTGAAGAAGGAGACACGATCGCCGTTTGCTCCAGGTTGACCGCGCATTCCCGATGAGATTTCCTTTTTATACTAATACTTGACCTTCTCGTCTGTGCGTTATTCGGCGCCACCTACAAAGATCCCTATTACCAACGGTGCCGTAAAAGACGTGGCTGGGGTTAGTTTACATCAGGTTGGGCTACATAACCACAAATAATTGCTTTAATAAAGACGTGTTTCACATGGGCCAAGAATTTTCTTTCGGGGCCCGCATAGGCGGGACTACCGAACAGTGCTGGAAAGACTTCAGCAATAACAAAATGACGAACTCGTCTGTGTATCTGTGGGAGCATGAGAAGTGGAAAGATAATAAGCTTCGTTTGGAAACAAATACTTGAGAAGTTCCAACAAAACCGTACCCCAGTCGTATTCACTGTCATGCTAATGGCGGCGTGCCGTGAAACGCTTTCACGAAAATCTCAGTGAACTTATTGGTTCTGTGAGTAATTGGTGGAGATAGGATTTGCACAGACTTCATGAGCGCCAGATAATTTCTTGGCATTCAAATGGGCTAATGTTGGGCGCTACTCGAGAATACCATCCTGGCTGTCATCAGGTTGGTGCCATACACGAGGCATGCACTGAATCAGTCCGCGTCGAGTTTAAGAGCCTTGCCAACGCGCATGCAGCATCTATGCAGCGCGTGGATTCAGACAGTCTATAAATCATCTAATCAAATTAAGATTAGTAAATGGAAAGAGAAGGTGAATGAGACAGTTCTGTCTTTGGGTGTGGATCAGTGGTGGACCGACGGCGACGTTATCAGGATTGCTGATTTAGCCCGATTTCTACGGGCTGTCCCTGGGCTTTCCTCAGCGTATCAAACAGGCTGTTTAAGGCAGGTTCAAATGCATTGGTGTCCGAGCAATGTGTGTTATATTAGCCGAGAGATGGACTGACATTTTCCACAGTGACTGTGTGTTAATTCACTGTCACCTAACGATTGCCTTTACAAAAATGACCATCACCGTTCAGACACAAGAAAATTACGAAAATTGCGTAACAAGGACTTAATAAAACATCATCTTGTATCATTGGGTTTGCATGGGTTGCTCTCCTCTTCATGTGCCACGTCCGTGCTCACCATACAACGAATGCTCTAAGGGTCGTCATTGCGCTTTGTTAGGACACAAACACTCAGCTTCCATGAGATCTCCTACAGGATTTCTGTTGTCAAACCCGTACTCCATGGCTTACTTACTTCGCCAAGTATACTTGTTCGTAGTCCCGCTCAAAACCACTAATAAGTCTGTTAAATTCATGTGAGTTTACGTAGAAAAAGTTACCTAGAAAGGGTTGTCAAAATGACTCCATAAAAGAGTCATTCATGTTCCCTAATCGGGAAACGGTTGCTCCGGATTTGCTTTCGAAATATGCGACAGGCACATTTCCCACGCTTATTTCAGCCCTGTGCTGTCTAGGCCAAACATTGAACTTCGTCTACGTCGGCCCCTATTATTTGACGCGATATCGGGACCCTTAGAGCTCTCTTCCTTTGACAATGGTCGCACCGTAATGCACATCTGTCGGTGTGCAGTCTGCTACATTGGCAGTTTGCTACGCTGTATAGCAGTTCCCTTGTCTGGCCGAATTCAACCAACTTCTTCGACTTCCCTTATTAAGGAATGTTTTCTTATTGATCCAAGTCACATTTGTTGATGACTTTCGTTGTGGACAGTCATTTTTCTCGAAAATGAATTTTGATGCTTGAATGAGTCTTCAAATGTGACCCAAACGACCATCTTCGTGAAAAGGAGCGCCCGAGCACTCACTAATTCGGTAAACGCCTTCAAGAACAATGTTATTTTAAAGTTCTCAATAGACAGGTAATTCAGAATTTGTCTTTATGTGCGATCGGGTGAAAACACTGAAAATCATGAAGTATTCAGCAATATTTCGAGGCCGATCTGAAACGCAACGTAATCAACAAGGAACGAGCAGTGTAAATTAATTTAACGGAAGAAAAATTCTCTCTATAAACACAGAATGATATGTTTACGATCACGCCTGTCAGTTCTATTTAAATTTATTAGGCACCGACCGGCCTCATGGCTTTTGATCCTACGACGTCACCATCGGCAAAATCAGGCAAAATCCAGCTTCTCTTGTTGAACACCATCTTATTTAGCTAAAAAGTAAAAGAAATTATGAAACACTGGAAACCTGTTTTGGAATCTACACTCAGAATGTAGGCAGTTGACAAACCGTCGCATATGAAATCACACTACTTATTAAACGATATTTAGATGTACACTTCACTAAAATAATGTTGTTCGACGTTATTTTATGTCTTCATTCATATTTACTACTTTTTTGATATGAGAATACATTCTATACATCTGAAAACGAACTTTTCTTAATAAGAGCCATTTCTGACATTTTCGGGATATTGCGCTTTTCAAAATAAATCGACATTTCTAAACTACGCAACACTGTCTATAATATTTCTTTTATGTTTTTTATTCTTTTAGAGTTGTATTTAATTAGCATAAACATTTGACTCATGAAATGATGTCGGCTTGCGAGTGGTTGGCAATCATTCGTAAATTTTTACACATTTCATGAGTTAGGTCACTAACTGTATGTCGGTGTGCAGTCTAATACATTGGCAATTTGCAACGCAAGATAGCAGTGCACTTGTCTGGGTTTGCATGGGTTGCTCTCCTGTAAGATAGCAATATTCGAGAACGGGGAAGAACAGTCATTCCAAAAAGTTTTAATTCACTACGCATCATCCCGTGCATTTCGTTCATGAGGCTGAGGATTGCAGATGATTTAAGGATAGATTTCAGTTAATGGCGAAGACACCGCGAGATCTCTGGTAAAGTATAGGTCGTGTAACACTGCCACTATGTTTGTTTTAGTAAGCTTTGTTTATTATCTTATTTTCTTTTCTTAAGCCAATATATATACTGCAGTCCTTGTGCGACCACTACCCTTATCTGCCACTGTCTCTGATGATGGGTCCGAGTGAGAATATGAAATATCAGGACAATAAACATCTTGTTCCAGTTGTCGCATCTACCTCTCCTATGATGGATGCACGTAGGTGCCCCGGGCACGCATCCGACCGCCTCAGGTAGATGAATTCGCCGTTGACGAATTAGGTTGGTGCGTGATGTGCATGTGCAGTTACATTCATTACGGGTAGGATAGGTTGGCAGCTGTTGAACTGGTGATGGTGGTTGCGCTACTGCTGCTGCTGCTGCTGCTGCTGCTGCTGCTGCTGATTATGATTATGGAGACTCTGGTAGAGTGACTTCTAGTGGTGTTGATTGTTGTGGTGTTTTGGGCATGTGCGAGGTAGTTTTGGTATGTGGATATCAGGGTGAACCTCGCCGTCGTGCATTCGAAGTCTTAATGTCCGACCTCCTGCTTGTGACCTTGACCTGTAACTGTGTCAGCAAAATGAATTTATAAGTATGATGAGGGAGCAAGGATAGAGTTTTCTGCTGTCATTCGAATTTCTGGAGGGTTTTTTAGTGTCCGTTGCGATTCGCTGTGTCGACAGCTGTGTCGACAAGTTAACAAAGGTAGTATAGAGGCCGGCCCTCACTTCGGCACAGAATCCGCATGGCAACTATGCCTAAGGCGGACAAGATTATGGACCTTGGCGACAGTGATGCCCGCACTTGGACAGGCCACGCGACCTGGGAGAAAGCGTCGGGTCCCCATGGACTCGGTGGCTTCAACCACAACAGTCTCTTCTATCTTAGAACCTACACAGCCCACGGCCTTCCACTTTCCAATGCGAGAGATTGTTACCATGATTCACCCTCGATCTCAACGCTGGTGGCTGTTGGAATACATTCTGATTCGGAGACCAGATTGACGGGAAGAGCTATTGACTAAGGTGGTCTGCGACGCCGACGGTTGGACAGTTCACTGGCTCGTCCTCTCGAGGATGAGACTCCAACCGCAACATCGTAGTAGATTGCATGCTCGGCGACCATCAGGTAAGTTAACACTGCTTTGTTGAATTTGTCTGCTCACCGCTTATACTTCAGCATTCAATTGGTTCAGCGTCAGGAAAATCTGTATGTTCCGGACGACAACGTCGCTTTGGAGACACAGTGGTGTCAGCAGCAGAAAGCAGTCTACTCCACCGCCCTGGGCGTCCTCGGTCGAACATGCTGTCAACGCCGTTATCGGTTTGACGACAACGACGACGCAGAAACCAGCAACGCACTCTCTCAGAAGAATAAGAATAAGTAGAAGAAGAAGATGATGATGATGAAGAAGAAGAAGAAGAAGAAGAGGGTGCAATATGACTGCATCAACCGTCGGACAGGCGTAGACAGAGCGGCCTTCCTCAAATTCATTCGCTTTGTGCAGCACTGACTGCGGGAAATGGGGGATCCGTGGACGGATAGCAAATTGAATAAAATCCAAGGATAAACAAACCCCAAAGATGAAGAAAATTTCTTCGCCGCCATCAAGAATGTCTACGGCCGCTGCACCAATTCAATCGCATCGCTGCTCACCATCGGAATAACAACTCTCCTCACCGGTCCCAGCAGTTCGGAAACGCCGCGACCATTGTCCATCTCTAAAAGCGGAATGGGGACCGTCAACTCTGCGATGATCATAGAGCAATCCGGCTGTTCAAAAATGTAGAGAAACTCTTCGTCTGCAGCCATCTCAATCGCCCCACCGGCCAGCTGGAGCCAGGACTCCCCTCAAAATACCATTGTGGATTTTTCGAAACTGTAGCACGATAGATACGATCCTAACCGCCAGCCAACTGGAGGATAAGTGTGGCGAAATGATGGCCGGCTTCTATACTACATTTGTAGACTTGAAAGCGCTTTCGATACAGCGAATCACAACGAACACTGGAAAGCCGTCCAGAAATTCGAATGTCAGCAGTGTTTTACTGGCATGTTATCTAACCTACACGACGGAATAATGCTACGTATCGCAGACAGTGGAAGATTCCCAGAGGCATTAGTAGTGAACTTTACGTTGATCCTGTGAATTGCACTCGCTGCCATCCTCTTCAGCCTCCACCACGCTAACTGATGCATACCATGATGAGCGTTCTTGGATCAGCGTCGTCTACAGGTCGGACAGCCAAATTCTCATTACCCGGCGCATGCAGACCCCAGTGCCTCTCTCCATGACCTCTATTTCCGGCCTGTTATTTATGGCCAACTCTGCACCCAGCACTGCGACTGAAGCGGATACGCAACGAATCATGGAGCTCATCACCGTCTGCTCTGTTTACTTCGGGCCGACCGTCAATACGGATGAATCGGTAGTCATGCTCTAGCCGGCGTCCAATTGACAAAACAATGACCCTCGTGCAATGCCAAAGGAACCCAAAGCAAAAATGCGGACAACTTTGCCTACCCAGGTAGTACACTCTTCTTTAACACCAAAACAGACGACGGCATTGAGCATCGGATCTCCAAAGTCTGCCAGGCTTTCGACCGACGGCATGCCTCCGTCTGGGACCGCCAATGATATTCTCTTAACAAGGACGGCAATCCTGACAATGGTCGGACACGTGGCCATGAACCTCAGCAGTAGCGCAGGTCTCGAGTTAGTTTACAGGGAGTTACTACACTTGTATCCTAATTCCACTCTAAAACCAACAATTACCATAACACTCTCTTTAACCTTATAACTTACCCGAATAGTAATCCTTACTTTAACATCAATGCCAACCCCAGTATTATCCATAACGCTAAATCTACCCCGCCTGGAATTTAGGAAAATGTCACCTGCACCACTGGGGGTCCAAATTTCCGTGTTCAACTCTGAGACCGCCATTATACAGACGGACACATGAAATAACTACCTCAATCAAACCAGGAAACCCAATAACTCCAACATCAGCTGACTTCGTAGAATACTGAATTTGATTAGCAGAATAGGATACTGAACACGGGGCCCTTGCAACGGACAGAAGCCTGTTAATGTTTTATTAATACAGGGAATAATTTTAGTCATCAAAGTATGCACCCATATTGCTCATACACATTTTCCACTTCGGCGACACCTCGTCCAGTCCGGTGGTGCAAAAGCCTGGTAACCGAGAGTGAATAAAATTTTTGGAGGTATAATTTACCGCATTGTCAGAATTAAAATGATTTTCTAGCAAAAAAGCCCCCAAGTTCCGGATGAAGTGGTGGTCGGGGAGAACAAGATTTGGTGAGTATGGTGAATGAGGGAGGGCTTCCAGCGTCAACTCCTCTAGTTCTGCCACTGTGCGAGGTGTGGCCAAAAACAAAACGAACAAAACAAAAGTAAGTCAAATAACAGTGCCAACATGAAAAAAGAAGGTATTTATTTTGAGCAAATGTTTCACTTCAAACTTTATGCTTGACTATCCAATGCCATCGCCTCCAAATACGTGCTCTTGATCATATTCGACCAAAGTTCAACTCAGCACTCATTGTGTACCAGGTGGAAATGGGAAATCTGCAAAGTATACTTTGATTGGAGGAGACGAACTGCGCTGGCGGGATCTGCAGAAAAGTCGCCTCAATAGTTACCGGAATATATCTTACGGAGGGTTGCAAAAACGAATGGGTTGTTATTCCTCAAGTGTGAGGGCTAGACAGGCTGGAGAGGCCTATCCGATAGAGTCACTAGTATCTCTTCCTCAGGTAAGATCGAGGATGAATTCAGTTCACCACAGAACGCTTTTGTTGGAAATGTGTAACCGAAAAAAATTGGGACCGGTTGGACCTGGTCTCCGTTGTCGTTTGCGTATGCAGTCCAATTGTCCTCAAGAAATTTGCGAATTCCCAAGACAAAAAAGCAGCGTCACAACGCACCCATATTGATGATGATTTAGTCGACCAGATGGCTACCAGGTTCAAATTAATTATCTATATCCACCAAAACACAAATTAGTTAATTTAGTCTAGTAGTCATGCGATGGATTCTAGACTGATTGTCTGGAAAATCCTGCTTGAGTAGTCAGCACAGTAGGCTGGACAGGCAGTTCTTCTCAACAGCCTGTGTTACTGAATTTTTGGATGAGGTGAGTTTGTGAGTGGTCTTTTTGGAATGATCTTAAGGACACGATAAAATAATCGTCACTCAGACTCCCGTGCTTGCGTAGGCTAGTACACGGCGAATGTCAATGCAATTACAACGTCCTACTCACAGCATTTTGGTAACATTTGTTATTTAAAAGTTTATTGAAAACAATCAACCACAATGTGAATGCATACTCGCGTCATTGTCGTCTGACCGAATAAGATCAACGTCAAATGTAAATAGAATTACTGCTGTAAACTCCAAATACGCTGGATTATTCGAAAATGTTTTTACATGGGCTGACGTAGATCACACCCAAACTGTAATCGGGGTTACGTCCATCACCTGTGGTGGTGGTGGTGGTGGTGGTGGTGGTGGTGGTGGTGGTGGTGGTGGTGGTGGTGGAGCAATAACAGTAGCTGCGGAAGTTGCGACTACGTTGGGGAAACCGGCTGACGGCTGCAAACGCGAATGCACGAGCATAAGTTGGCCGTGCGAAGGTTGGACCCAAAGTCGGAGGTAGCAACCCATGCCGCGCAAATGGGACACATCTTCAACTTTGACGCCGTTGAGATTGTGGGTCGGGGTGGCGATCACACAGCAAGGCAATTGCAAGAAGCCTGGATGTCCACCGACCGCTCTGTCAACCGCCACATCAATTTGCCTCCCCCTTATCTGAATTTACGAACCTTCTTTGCGGGGGACAGTCACGGCGCGGGACAATCGGGGCCGTCAGTCATCACCGCGGCCGACGGGGGCGATTCAGGTCATGGTGACATGCGGGTTGGATGCAGCCACACAAGCGGCATTGGCGGATCACGCATTGGACAAAGGGCACCATAATAAGGAGTGCTGTGCACAGGACCTCCCAGTCCCTGAAGATGGGTAGACGAGTAAACTACCCGAAACGTCGGATTTCAAATAAACCCCTCCCGGTGAACGCCCACTCTTCTTTTGAGTAGTAGTATTATTGAGCTTAGGAAGAGAGGAGAATGAGTATAATGACCCCTTACATGGGGTTATTAATGCGGTAAGAGGTTCATGATTGTTATTTTTGTTAAAATTACATGTGCTTTCCTTTTGATGACCCTAAGAATCACGATGATAGCGATGGTTCTGATGACAATTGTAGTATGTCGTAGATATCGTGTGGGTAGTGAACATACCATTTTCTTCAGGGTTTAGATACCCCAGGGTGCTTTACTCTTTTCCCCTCGTCACTGTCCGGCCATTCATTCACGGCACTCTGAGGGCCTTGCATCAGTTCTATTGAGTAGCGCATTCCTCTTCCTCTTCGGGTGAATCCTGTCTGCTTTTCACATATATTGTACGGCTACAAGTCTGAAATTTTGTGGTTCGACTCTCTCTTCCTCTCTCTTAAGGCGTGTTTTTCTATCACCATTTAAGCTGACCCTCGGAACCATTTTCACGTTGTAATTGCATTGACATTCGCCGTGTACTAGCCTACGCAAGCACGGGAGTCTGAGTGACGATTATTTTATCGTGTCCTTAAGATCATTCCAAAAAGACCACTCACAAACTCACCTCATCCAAAAATTCAGTAACACAGGCTGTTGAGAAGAACTGCCTGTCCAGCCTACTGTGCTGACTACTCAAGCAGGATTTTCCAGACAATCAGTCTAGAATCCATCGCATGACTACTAGACTAAATTAACTAATTTGTGTTTTGGTGGATATAGATAATTAATTTGAACCTGGTAGCCATCTGGTCGACTAAATCATCATCAATATGGGTGCGTTGTGACGCTGCTTTTTTGTCTTGGGAATTCGCAAATTTCTTGAGGACAATTGGACTGCATACGCAAACGACAACGGAGACCAGGTCCAACCGGTCCCAATTTTTTTCGGTTACACATTTCCAACAAAAGCGTTCTGTGGTGAACTGAATTCATCCTCGATCTTACCTGAGGAAGAGATACTAGTGACTCTATCGGATAGGCCTCTCCAGCCTGTCTAGCCCTCACACTTGAGGAATAACAACCCATTCGTTTTTGCAACCCTCCGTAAGATATATTCCGGTAACTATTGAGGCCACTTTTCTGCAGATCCCGCCAGCGCAGTTCGTCTCCTCCAATGAAAGCATGCTTTGTAGATTTCCCAATTCTGGTGGCCTAAAAACCAAACTGTTTATGAAAACGACAATCACGAAGCAAGTACTGAATTTCAACAGTAACCAATCAATCAATCACAAACGCAGTTGCGAAAGGTCGATGTCGGCTCATTGAGACGCATTGTGGCGAAACTGAGACCAAAACCAACCGGTCCCAAATTTTGGCGGGTTCTTCCGTCCGCGAATAACGTCTCGGAAGCCGGCAGCCACCTTCTCACTCCACTTGGGATTGGGGTTGCACACGGGCCGGAAGTAACCATCAGGCGCCAAGTCATGAGACCGAAAGACCCGCTGCCACGGCAGGAAATGTCAGGAGTCGTTTACCGTATCTGGCTCAGGTGCAATAACACCGACCGACAGACGCATGGCGAGACCCCAAGATACGGCTTTGGCCCGATTCTATGGCCTCCCTAAGGTGCACAAAGACGGCGCTCCTCTCCGACCCATCGTATCGCTCAAAGGGACTCCAACGTACGGACTGGCTAGGTGGCTGTTCCGGCGTCTCAAGTTCCTGACCGCTGAGTCAGACGCCACGGTCTCTTCGTCAGCACAATTCCTGGAGAAACTCAAAGGGGTAAGCATCCATTCAAACGAGGTCATGGTATCTTTTGATGTTACATCCCTTTTTACTTCTATTCCCCACGACCTGGCGATCGAGACAATTGAGCTGCTACTACAAAGCAAATATGATGAAACGGAGAACCGTCTTGGACACGCCCAAATCCTTCAGCTCCTGAAGCTCTGTCTCAGGACGTACTTCACGTTCAACGGGACAATCTACGAACAGGTGAAGGGCACACCAATGGGTTCGCCGATTTCGGGATTCATCGCCGAGGCGGTCCTGCAACGGTTAGAATCGCTGGTCTTCCAACACCACAGACCGAAATTCTGGGCCCGGTATGTGGATGATACCTTCGTCGTCATCGAACGGGATCACGTGTTGACATTCCAAGAACATCTCAACGCCGTCTTCCCGGACATCCAATTTACGATGGAGGAGGAAGAGAACAACCAGCTGGCCTTCCTGGATGTCCTCGTATGCCGCAAGGATTGTGGTGGACTAAAGACCAAAGTGTTCAGGAAAGCGACAAATACGATGCAAATACTGAACTTCAACAGTAACCACCCAATCAGCCACAAACGCAGTTGTGTAAGGACGCTCTATCGGCGTGTCGAAACGCACTGCAGTGAGCCGGAAGACAAAATTGCCGAACTACAATACCTCCGACGGGTCTTCAAAGCCAATAGCTACCCGCGCAACTTTGTCAACCGGTGCATACACAAAATGGGCCAAAGGCCTAACCGCACGGACACCAAAGTTTGGCGTGCGTTTCCATGTGTCAAGAACGTTTCGGAAGCTGTTGGCCGCCTTCTAGCACCATTTGGCGTTGGAGTGGCACACAGACCGGAGGCAACCATCAGGCGTCTGGTCATGAAACTGAAAGACCCACTGCCACGGCAAGAAACGTCTGGAGTCGTTTATTGGATCTGGTGCAGTTGCGGACAAAGCAACTACGTCGGAGAAACCGGAAGACAGCTCCGAACGAGAATGGCCAAACACGCGACAGCGGTGCGCAGAAATGGCGCCAGCTCTCAAGTTGCGGCTCATTTGACGAGATCCGGCCACACATTCAAATTCGATGAGGCCGAAATTCTCGCAAGAGGTAACAACCGCGTGAGCCGGGAGCTACTTGAATCATGGTTTACTGGCCCCCAGTCCATCAACAAGAGCAACGATCTTCCCACTCCATACTGCGTGCTAAAATTTTGCCTAGGCGGAGTAACAAGCCATGCGGGGAGCGCAGAGGTGAACACTTTTCCCAACACCGGGGTCGGTGCGTCAGATGGTCGAGCAATCATCACGCCAACATCCAACGCACGTGATGAGATTGCAGCAATTATCGACTCGAATGTCGGCCATTAAACAGTGATCACACCAAGTGCGACGATCCCGGATGAAGGGGGGAGCCGTGACTGTTCATAGGTATGCGGTAGCATGGCTACTGCATCCTATAACTACCGCAGCCCCTTGTGCAGCAACCACCCGTTTATGCTTTTTTGTCTCTGATGATGGATTCGAGTAGGAATCCGAAACGTCAGGCTAATAAAGCTCTTGTCCCGGCGATCGTGTCTCCTTCTTCAATATGAAATGTGTTATATCCCCAATTAATATGACGCCAGTTCTGTGCGGAATAGAAAACAGGCAGAATAGGAGAGAACAGCTTTACTGCGTCAGTCACCCTGTGTACATGAACTCTTAATCCTTACGTCCGTGGCTTCGTATTTAAGGGTTCAGCCTTCTCCTGGTTTGCGTGTTCCTACTGGTCCAGTCCTGAGGGCCGCATGGGCAGGCCCTCGCGTGTTGCTGGCCCCTGGAGGTCGCGCATGACTCAGCGGCGTACTAATGTCTGGCTCGTATGCGGGCTTCCTAGGCGAGGCTGTCCGGCGAGTTTGCGGTTCTTTGTCAGGCGTGACCGTCGGACGACTGGAACGGTGCGTCGTGTTCTGGGCCGTCCTAACAAAATGTCCGGCCAATAAACATCTTGTTCCAGTGGTCGCATCTTCGTCTTCTATGACGGATGCACGTTGGTGCCCCGGGCACGCATCCGACCGCCTCAGGTAGATGAATTCGCCATTGACGAATTAAGTTGGTGCGTGATGTGTATGTGCATTTACATGCGATACGGGTAGAATAGGTTGGCAGCTGTTGAACTGGTGATGTTGGTTGCGCTGCTGCTGCTGCTGCTGCTGCTGCTGCTGCTGCTGCTGCTGCTGCTGCTGCTGCTGCTGCTAATTATGATCATGGATACGCTGGTAACTTGGTTTCTGGTGGTGCTGGTTGTCGGTGGGTTTTGGGGATGTGTGAGGTAGTTCCGGTACATGGAGAGTGAGGTGAACCTCGCTGTCCTGTATGCGAAGACTTAATGTTCGACTACCAGAGGGTAGGCCTCCTGCTTGTGATGTTGACCCGTAACTGCGTCAGCGAAATGAACTTGTAAGTCTGGTAAGGGAGCAGAGATAGAGTTGTCTTCGGAGGTGTCGATCACAAGAGGTCGGCCACCTAGGCATACATGAGCCACCTTACCTGCAATTCGCAAAAGCCGTTCATTACAAGGAAGAGCTTCATGACTGACTCTAGACAAAGTGTAATATAGGCTCTGGCTCTGCTATAAACCGGAACAAGTATGTCAGTCGAGGAGCACTTTGCCAAATCATGCAGCACAACTGTTAAAAACGTCAAGAATGAGACTTCTATGGCAAATACGAAGATTCAAATAATGTACAGTAATGCATTTAAATCGTAAACGACAATCGAAATTTGAAAAGGTAATTTTCTAGGTCTACTTAAGAACTCAAACTTATCCTCGTTTCTAGATGAATTTTATGCGCATTTGTTCATGAAATGACAATCAAATACGTCCGTAATAAATACCTCATCGAAGCGACCACACAAACGAGTATAATACAATAAATAATCCGACTATCCGCTGTGGCTGATGGACTCCGGCATAATTATTTATACACAAAATATTCCGCCTGGGCATATAGGACTTACATTACTGATCAACACCAAGTTCGTAGTTAAATTCGAAGGAAATTATGAAGCAAAAACTAGACCTAACTGTTAAACATATGTAAAAACAAGTATGGGATGGAGATGCTACGTTCAACTTGCCAACGGTAAACTCACGCAAGCATTGCGAAACCCACCCATGCTTCTTGTGTGTCACCTCCCCACTGACTGCCAGGATGGTTTACTTGAGTGGCCTAAAATTAGCCGATTTGAATGCCAAAGCGTGTAACAAGCGATGGCTCATCTCTGAACTACCCCTCCACACGACACATCAGGCATGTCATCTGTTCATCCTAAGCTCCTAACTCCTTCATTTGTACCTTGGTGTGTCGATAGCGTTCGCCAGAATTGGCAACGCCCTATGGTAGACCCCTTCACATCCTGTCGCGTCCATGGCAGCAATTGACTCTTTCGTGTGTGGCCATCGCACTTTGCTGAGGATTTCAATCAATGGCTTCAAAGTACACCATCCTAACTGTCCTTTGTCACATCGAAGAGGCCAAACCGCCACGTCACATGCCAAGGGGCCTTCTGCAATTTACCAGAATCCATTAGCTTATGACCATCTTCAGCCACAAAGGCCTCCATCCAACGCGCATGGTCGGTCGCCTCTGTTTTCTCGACTACTTTCAACCTCTATTATGCATTGGCTATTTCTTCTTCACTTCCACCCTTTGCTTGTAAACTCTATTTTCCCCGAAGAATGAGCATTGCTATGACATAGTTCCCCTTGTGTTATTGTGTTAAAAGGCGCATTTGAGGGTAATCTGAACTTTCATTTTGATATCCGTGGTACCGCCATCGCATTCAAAGTGTTCAGTCGAATATCCAGAAGAATGTGTGATATTTATTCTGCTTCACTTTGTCAAAACCCCAAACACCCTCTCGCTCCCGTCCTGACCCAATGCATCTGCTGTCATAAAGTAGTGCGTGTCGGCGACATGGTAAATAATTCATGATGCGTGATACCACCTGACTTATCCGTTCTATGGTTATCACTGTCTTTGGATGTCTTAGAATTTGGAGCCTAAACAGATGGCTCAGAAATTTTAACTTTGTTCATGAGTATCAATTAATGCAAGCCATTGTTGGCGCATGAGGTTTTGTCCTCTGACTTCACTTCCTTTGTGCCTCTTATGCGGATCAGCCGGCAAAACTGCAGTCCATTCGGAATCAGATTCGATTTCTGTTTTGGACAGTAGGCAGGGTATCGTATCCTCTCAAGGTCGCCG